TATCATTATTAATATTTTTTATTATCGGTTCGTGGTAAGGTTAAGCATGCGTATTACAACTTCAAGCGCATTAAGGAGCTTTCTATGCCAAAGCAAGCATCGACTGAAGTTTTGAGTCTAACAGAGCCAACTTTCTTTCCAGCTGTTTGCGTTACAAAGAACGTGCAGTTTCAGTAGGAACTAAAATTTGAAGCGCGCGGGAAAATTAGTACAAGAGGGAAAAGAACCCGGATGTAAATATTTCCCCCGATTTGTAAGAATGAAATGAAGTCGTTTTGCGTTACTATGGCAATAGTTTCTTGCGAAGTGACTCATGTACTGGAAGAAATTARAATCCTTCTTGCAAAATATTGGGATCAAATACTCCAGTTCACAATTTTGTATTGCGGAGGGTTAGCCTCGATTKTGTGTCGATATTCATGTAAAATTTCAAAAGTTGTTGTTGAATTTGAGCATTCTTTACTTTAATATTTGTAAATATTTTGACGTTAAAATGAGGCAAACGATGAGAGAATGAGTCTGTAATCAAGGAACACAGCGGTATTTTACCAAAGACTATTGTGTCATTTTTTCACCATGTTTTTACTTATCTATTTTTCCCCTTTTTTTTAGCTCTAACTTGGGCATTCATGACAAACAAATCCAAGTTTCTCCTTGGGCTGGCCATTATCCAYGGATTCCTTACCATAGGAAGCGTCTTCTACTACTTCGCCTTCAGAGAAATGAACAAACCAACTCCCGACAAACCTTTTAATAAGAGTAACGATGATAGGAACCACGTCGACTAAATCAACCAATCACCATTCGCTTTGTTTATATCTTAAGAGAGTTACACTTCCAAACATACGTTTTAGATTGAGAAAATGAAAATCAGTGCTATGGATGAAGACTCGAGAAAGAAGCGAGATGAAATAAGGAAGAAAGAAACATAAATAGGGAAATATAAATCGTGTTTGGTCTATCAAAGTGTCGGATGAAATTTGTTTGGTGACAGCCTTGGGGGTCTTGAGACTCTCCCACGATGTTTTAATCGTCGCGTCTGTATTAAATCCAATATCACACCGTCTATCAATGATAAAAAAACGACTGTCAAAATGAATTGGAATTTTTCCGGCTTTTTTCACATGTCAGGTTAATAATCTTAACAAGCTTCCGGGATTTGAATCTAAATCCTTTCCCCCTCYATTTAGCCGTATCCTGGACAACCGATTTGAATGTTATATACATTACACATGATTCTCTTCGGCCGCGCAGTAAATTTCGCCAAGCGTGATTGGATGATTGACTGAAATTTTCGAAGTGATAAAAGATAGCTTCTGCATATTTTATTCAAGCTTAATCTAGGTCTAATAATAGTTGAAGTTGGGATACTGTGCTATTGTTACATTTGAAATATCTATGATATATGAATGAAACTTTGTTGAGCCTTAGAAGAGTGCTATTTTTTGTGGCACAATGATATATTTATTATTTTAGGGCCCTAGTGATGTCCGAACTAGTTGTATTGATCGTTTTTACACACTGAGATCTAAAGTGATGTCAGATTAAAACACTCAGTGTTTCTTATTGTACGGTTAGTTTCTTGACCGGCTTGTGTCCGAGACGAAAATATATCGATTTTATCATCGAAGGTCAATACAGTGTCGGTATTTGAATTATGCCGTCCGGAGGACGGACGACGATATATTGATTTTTATATTGTATCCTAGTGATACACGATAAAATATTGATTACTTTTCGTCAATTTCGATATATTAACAGTATCAGATTGTTACTTGTTCCGAGTGACACACGATGATATATTGATTGTTTTTTCTTCGACGCTAATCGAATATCAAATCTACGATGATATATCGATTGGCGTCAATCGGTTTGTACACACTATTGTAAAGAATAATTGATACTCGAACTGCTTCGAGCAAGCATAGATGGATTGATGAAAATTATAATTAGTTAACATTATATTAATCATAATATAGTATAGATATATATAAATAAAAAGTTTAAAGAAATCGAATAAATTCTTCAGAAYACAACTTCTCCGCTTTGTCATTCAATATTGGTTTTGCAGCAAGGGGTAGAAGATTGCTGTGAAGAACACACTGTACAGACATGCCGTGCAGTACCGTGCCGTGTCTGAAAGCCTTTGCATTGGCTGAGCAGGTTGTGACTGGTTAAAAGGATTAGAATGGTTCATTTCACATTCAGACGAAATCTGATGATTATACTTGATGATGATACATGATGATGGCAAAAATGATACTTGATACTCATACATGAGGATGGTGATGGTGATGATAAATGAT